CGCCACTGGATTTTGCGTATAATTCTCTATGTGATGAAATTTCAATTTGACATTTTCGCTGAGAAACTTCGTAGACATAGAGGGGGTTCAGAAAGTATTAATTTTCAAAATCGAACTGCATTTCATAAACGAACACCGTTATGGAAAATCTGATTAGACCATCTTGAGGTTCACAAAACAGTGGCACAGGGCCGCGAAAACCGCAAGGTTCTATCAAAGATAACTGAGATATCATGCAAAAGCATCGAAATGTGGACACACTGTACTTTCATACAGGGTTGGGCAAAAGTATGGAACCAGGTGAATATCTTGGTGACCGTTTGTTAGATTTTCTTGAATATATGTACAGGGTGATTTTGAAACGTGGTGGATTTGAAAATGTTATCGTGGATATTGCCACTTTTTCAGTTATTCCGGAATTATTATCAACTTCCTTATTTTAAATAGAACACCCTGTATTTTATTGAATTTACAGATTCTCCATGGAAAGCAGATTTCATCGATTCATCACACTTGGGGTATATCCTAAACGATTTCAGAGGTATAGGGTGTTCAAAATCGATATTTTTCAACTTTAGGATTTTTTTTTGTCGAAACTATTCATTATCGGTCAAAACGGCTTTGATGTCTCTATCTTAACTTTTGATCTACTATCTATTGGTATTTAATGGGAATAGATACAGGGTGATCAGATTTCTGAATCTTGAACCATCCTGTATTTGTTTCAATTAAATGTCGGTAGATAGTGAATTAAAAGTTGACGTAGGTACATGTGAGCCGTTTTGACCAATAATGAATAGTAATCATTCTTGCTAGGTCCCAAGTGTGATGAATCGATGAAATCAGCTTCACAGGGAGAATCTGTAAATTCAATAAAATACATGGTGTTCTATTCAAAATGAGGAAGTTAATACTAATTCCGGAATAACTGAAAAAGTGGCAACATCGACGATAACATTTTCAAATCCATCACGTTTCGAAATCACCCTGTACATATATTCAAAAAAAATCTAACAAACGGTTACCGAGATATTCACCTGGTTCCATACTTATTTTGCCCAACCCTGTATTGTTCCACAACGTATTTGTGCTTTAGTGGTATTCTTCGTGCAAAACCATCGAAATAAAACAGAACTGACAAGACGGCGTCGCCTTGTGGAGTCATTTTTTCATTTATTTTCTCACGTGTTGCATTGTATTGATTGTTTTATATCTGTTTTTCTCAATTTTCATAGGTGAAAGTTCATATGCATTTATGATAGTTTGGTACTGAATATGAGTTGGATCCCTTTGAAACCGATGACAACCTCGACAAAGAGTACGAGACAAAGACATCATCCTCTGATTCAGATGGTCAACAAGATAATGAAATCGACAGCGGTGATGATCAATCGTCTGTGCAGAATGTGTCAAGTAACTACTTTGCTGAAACTGTTTCACGCCATATCATACATAAAACTGCAAAATTATATTGAATAAAGATTTGACAAGACTTGAACTTTTATTTCATAGGTTACCAGTGGGACATATTATATGATAAATTCAACAGTACCAATGGGGCATATTTGCCCCATCCGTCAATGTCAAAAAACAAATTTTAAATGATGCAAACCTGTAGGAGTAACCTAACTATATACAAAATAAGTCAGAAATCACAATTCCAAATCAGTTTGTGCATAAGGAAATAGTGGGGCTAAAAGGGTTAACTTTCAGTAGATAGTAATTCAAACGTTGAGATAGGGACATGTAAGCCGTTTCGACCAATAATGAATAGTTCTGACACAAAAAAATCCCAAATTTGAAAATGTTCGCTTCTGAACACCCTATATCCCTGTAATCAGTTCCGCTAGACCCCAAGTAGTGTGATACATTGATGAAATCTGTACATACTATTCTTGAGGAGTTATTAGCAAAGACCATTGATTTTTCATCCACTCTAAAAGGTAAGACCCCCGTCATTCCTTGCTCGCACAAGACTTTCGAAGACTTTTGAGGGTTGCTCGTAAGGGGACAACCGAATGACGGATAGAACAATTTTAGAACAATTTTTAGTTAAGTTGTAAGTCATAATAAGGATGCCAATAATGTCATGGATGTGACTTTATCAAAAAAAATAAAACATCTTGTATATAATATGTCTGATTGGGAGATGCTGATATCACGAATTGGAGATGATATTTGTATACTACAGAATTTAAATGAAATTCCACCGCCTACTTATCTGAAAACCACTGAATTATTCGCTATGTTCCGACCCACCCTGTATATTGTTAGTACGTGCAGGAATTATAATACTTCATAGTAGATTCGTATCGGTGATTGAAACAACCAATACTCAGTTGGTTTGGTTTTGAAATTATGAAAAGTGTCTTCACAATTTCTATCTAAATTTTTGGAAAAGTCAATTTTATCACCCTATATAATCTTTAACTGTTGATTTTGGAGTGTTGGTGCAATAGAGACATTTGATTAGCACCACGAGTTCTACAAAATATCAAAAATTGGAGTAAATTCACCGAAAGCCAATTTCCCATAGATGCGGTGCGGGGTCCTTTAGGTGATAGCTATCATGAAATTCTATAACTGTTGTATTCGAATTTTTTTTATATACCTGACGGTTTGGCTAATGTCGAACGAGAACACACTATTGACTCACCCTGTATGTGTACTTTTATCCACCACTAGTTATAAAACCTACCATTCTTAACTCCTTTCCGAGGCGTAAAGTGCAGTGTTTTTACTACCAAGGTAGTTTTCGTCATTTTTTCTACTCACATAACTAAAATGGCATTTAGCGTACGGATATGTACCACGCTAAATGATCGATTAATCACGAATTGACGATCTGTGATTTATTCGAAATATTAAACACGTTACCATGGCAACACAATTTCTTAAACACATTACCATGGCAACACAGTTCATTAAACACAGCTTCAGTAATTTTAGACATGTCTGGCCTGTCAATTGTATCAACTGTCAACTGTTATTTTCAAATTTCGTATCAGAATTATTCAAACAATATTCGTTTGTATCAGAATTATTCATTAAAAATATATGCGAGATGTAGACGAACGTGAAATCGAAGAGAATGTTCTGGTACTTGCATATCTCCAAGAAGCGTAAAAATGAAGCATCCATCTTTGAGAGCAATTCATTCATTCTGCGCTAAGCATGACAAAAACGTGAAACAAAGGTTAGTAAGCAATGTACTGGACACATCTACAACCAATATCACGTATTCGTGTCTCGCTGGTTGCATGCAATTGCATGTGTTATGTTCTCAATTCCCATTCCTTTCGAATTATTTCGTAGTTTCGTAGATTAGCAGGAATAGCAGGTATGTTAATGTAATTTTCGGAGTTCGTAGTAAAAGCATAGTATGTAACGCGTTTATAAACTCTTCTAGACACTGGTTTATTAAACACTCGTTACTAAAAGGACGTTTATAACACTTGTTACATAATATACTATTATGAACCACTTGTCAATAACGAAATAGCCAACTCTGTTGTAATTAACCCGAATGCACTGTTCTGATCAGATATTCGCAGGAATAGCACTCGAATCTAGTAGGTATTTATCAATAACGACTTGCCATATGCTGTCATTTCCATATTCTGCTGAAATGATTGAAATATATTGCTAGTGGTGAAAAAAATTGAATAAACACCTTGGTAGTAATAGTTATTTGTTTTACTAGGCAGAAAAGCAAAGGATTTAAGGCCGCGGCTGGCGTTTCATAGCCAAGGCGTAGCCGAGGCTATGAAACCAGCCAAGACATTAAATCTACTTTTCTGCCGTGTGAAACATAACATTTTTCCTCCAAATTCGTCCAATTTCACGCAAACTCCAAATAATCCATCATTTTGTGTTCACCCAACGTCAGTGTCAATTTTGATTACCAATTTGATTCAAATTATTTTACGTTGCATATCAACAAACTTTTTCTGCCTAGGCAGTAAAAGTACACATTTTCTGCCTGTTGAGTGTCATTAAAAAGACACTTCTAATGTCATTTGGAGAAAATAGTTATTTGTTTTACTAGGCAGAAAAGTAGAAGATTGACTGCCGCGGCTGATAGTTCATAGCCGAGCGTAGCGAGACTAGGAATTCAGCCAAGGCAGTCAATCTACATTTGCAGCCGTGTGAAACATAGATTTTTTTCTCCAAATGATATAAATCCAATTTTGGGTATTTTTTTTAATGAAAACTCCATCATTTCTTGTTCACCCAATGACAGTGTCAATTTTGATTACTAATTTCATTAGAATTTCTCGGAACGTTGCATAACAACAAACTTTTTCTGCCTAGGGAGTAAAAGTACACGTTTTCTGCCTGTTAAGCGGCAGTAAAAAGCCACTATCCCTGCCGCTTGGAGAAAATAGTTATTTGTTTCACTAGGCAGAAAAGTAGTTGATTGACTGCCGCGGCTGATAGTACATAGCCGAGCGCAGCGAGGCTAGGAATTCAGCCAAGGCAGTCAATCTACATTTGCTGCCGTGTGAAACATATAATTTTTTCTCCGAATGATATGAAACCAATTTTGTGTAATTTTTTATTGAAAACTCCATCATTTTATGTTCATCCAATGTCAGTGTCAATTTTAATTACTAATTTCATTAGAATTCCTTGGAACATTGCATAGCAACAAACTTTTTCTGCCTAGGCAGTAAAAGTACACTATTTTGTGCCTGTTGAGCGGCAGAAACCTCGGGATATATTCTTGGTCTCTGGGTAATAATGATATTTTTCACTACCTTGGTGAATAAATAACTATTATTTCATCAGAAATTGTATTCTTCAAATTCTCACGCTATGAAAAATCAAACATTCACCAGCAGTGATTTACTTTTCTACTTATCTAGTCTTTACCGATAGACAAAGAGAAAAACAATATGATTCAAAATAACAAATGATAAATGGTTGGATTCAAAGTTTATCAACCACCTATGCGGTTTTCTTTCATATAAAAAGAAAAAGTGTTATTGTTCAAATTCAGTTCATTTTTCGTGACCTAACTATCGTGTTTCTCTTAGAAATCTACTCCAGGTAAGTGAAAATTTTCAATTTTTCTCATTCTATAAGTTGTACCTACCTATACCATACAGGGTGATTCAGATTTAAAGGCATACACTGAAATGGGTGATAGATTCCATCATGTTAATCAAAATAGATTATATAAACATAAGTCCGATCTCGATCAGAAACGGAGCTACAGGGGGTCAAAGTTTAATTATTTTTTTCCTATCAATTAATATATCTCGCTTAATAGAAGATCATGATTTTGAGCATTTTATAGATTTTTAAAATCTACAGGGTGATACGTTTTTCGGGCTTTCTTATCCCCCACAAACTTTTTCGTAGGCTTTTTTGCTTATTATTATATCTGTTCTAAAAACATGTTATTCTGCCCATATTGTTTCGCTTGAATTTTACCATTGGACGAAATTCGTAGAAAATACAATGAAATGTACTAAAATTAGAAACTGGATCAGTAGCGGAGATACAAAGGGTAGAAGGTCAGGTTATATATTTGAAATTTAAGCAAAACGTAGGCAAATTTAGAATGTTTTAGAATGCTTATTTGTTTCGAAAACGGTTCATTTCTCGAGAAAAGTTAAAAAACTATAAAAGTCTCTAAATTGAACAATTCATATAATTCGGTGAATAGATAATGTTAGAGCAGTGATACGAAAAAGTTTGAGGATTTAAAGAAGCCTGTACCTCCGAAAATGTATCACTCTGTAGTCTGTAGATTTTGAGAATCTTGAAAATGGTTTTACCTCACTGAATTTCAAATTGATAACTTCATTAGCGACCAAGATATTCTAATTATTAGAAAACAATAATTAATCTTTGACCTCTTGTAGCTCGGCTACTGATCGAGATTGGACTCATGTTTACATAAACTTTTCTGATTGAAATGAGATCTATCACACATTCCAGCTTGTGCCTCAAAACCTGAATCACCCTGTATGATTTGTATTGCACAAACTCCTCCAAAAAATTAACAACTCTGAATTGTCACGAATGATAGTATGATGTCTTTATGATAGAATTGATCAAAATAAGATGTATGTACAGATCGTATTACTTAAAATCGTCATTTACAGGGTATGTATGAAAGGTCTGTACCAAGCCCTCAAACAGAATTGCTAAAATATGAGTTGATGAATTCCAAAAAAACAATCTTGGTGTCATAGTGATTGAAAACTGCCCTGAATGTCCTTATATTCAAAACATTTTCTCGAAACTTTGGTAGTTCTATGGCTACTGACAAGCAGTGTATATCAATGAAGATGATTCAATTCTTGGTCATTAAGTGCATGAGATAGGGGGTGCTTATATTGAGAATAAGTGACATATTATGATTATACTTAGCTATATTATGGTACAGGATTAGTTGGGAGGTATGGACCAAATTATAGTAGTATACAGGGTGTTTCCAAAATTGGGGCGATGAATAAAATGAGGTATAACCACAGAAAAAAATTGTTTTGCAAATTAAAAAAGAAAGTGCGCTTCCACCATACTACATCTTTCAACTATTATTGAACGTCTGGCAACATTGCAGAATTCATTGATACTTCCGGTGCTTATGATCTTGTCAAAAACAAACGCTTTGGTTGTGGGCTATTAACCTCTGATCAATGATTTTCAAAAAAATTTGTCAAAATCTGAAGCTAAATATCTTGCAAAATATTTGTCTTTCAACCAAAATGTATTCTTTCATTTCGAAATACCCAGTATTCCCTACGTAAAAATGACTTAAAGAGACTCAAATATTGTTATCCAATCTTCATTTGTTTTCTAGTTTAATAATATCTAAAGGCACGCTTTTGCCGATTATGACAACAAGTGTTGTACGTAGCTTCATGAGTACCCAATCTTTTGAAATGTTGAACCTTCCAGAGTTAAGTCTGTTGAATATTTCTTGTTAAAAAATGAAGATTGTGAAATGAACATTGAATGTTTTTGATGTGTAATATTATATGCTCTTGGGTAGATATATTTATTCCTTCCTAATTCCTTTTTTCTGCTTCTATTTAGTTGAAAAGCCATTCAATATAGTTTATAGTAGTAGTATAGGTACTATAGTCGCGTTTCTTATCGAATTATCAACTTAAAATGTTGTTGCAGGAAAATTCAACATGTCTTCCGCAACTAAGAAGAACATCCTCAAACTGTATGATCGACCAAAGGAATTCAGTTTTATGCCGAAAGGAGACAACAATGCTGTTTTTGATGTACCCCCAGAGTATATTGTAAGTAAAAATCAACCCTTGAAACTTTCATATTGTTCTAAAATTGTTCTTATCCATCATTCGGTTGCCCCCTTACGTGCAACCCTCAGAAGTCTTCAAGAGACTTGTGCGAGCAAGGAATGACGGGGTCTCACCTTTTAACGTGTGATCCCAAACACTTTGCTTCTCCAACGTGGATAGAATACTGACGCTTCAACCACGAGGCTACGCTAACCACTACCTAAGTAACTTAATTATTCTCTAGAGGCACAACAAGTATTTGAATGAACGAAGTGATCAGGACAAAAAAAAACAGTTCATATGGCCTACCACTAAAAGAACCTTGTATTTTGACATTTTGAAACATTTTCAGTTCAGGAGTATTCTAGATGTAGAATTCCGCTCACAAACGATTATATCTACAAGGTGTACATCAGGGATTGAAGTTGAGAAATGAAAATTGCTCTTTCGCAATGACTCGATGACATATACAATTTTTGCATCCAAATTCGTTATGTGATTTTATGTTCAAATAGGTCAATTCTTGGCCAGAAACTGATTTCGGACATTTGATCTTGTATTGAAGCTAAAATGAACGGTTTTCGAGAACTGCGTAAGTATTTTTATCATTCGAAAATCTTGTCCTGAGCTGTGAGTTGATCAGATATACTTCTTAGTTTAAATTCTGTTCAATAACAAACACAATTATATTTAATTTGAAAACAAAAAACGAATATTCCCCTAATTCTATTCTATTTATGAAATGATAGGTAACACCTTGTTTGGAGAATGTTATATTGTTCAATAAATACGGTATGATAGTCAGTTCTCATGGGTATCAAATTTACAGCATGAACCGTAGGCAAATGCTGCAAATCATAAATGCAAATTTTATTATTCACAATATCTACAGTTACATTATTATATTATAGTGAAATCACTCCCGCTGCTCATCATATTATAATGAGGTTCATATTGTGTCGTAGCCGTGAAAGAATATAAAAAATTTCACCCATGTTTGCTTGTTTCGGAAACGAGTCTGTTCGTTACCATCGAGACTACAAGGCCTGCATGCTCCGTTGTGACGTCACCTTAGTGAGGCCTAACGTTACCATCGATAGTCTTGATGGTAACGATCTGTTCCCGTTTTCAACATAATGATTTTTTTTATGTGACCGAACGAATGATCTTACTGGTATTAATTGAGCTTCTCATCACACCTTATCAAAACTGTATCGGCAGCGAAAAAATTATTGGCATGATTTTCAAAAACTGTAAGGTAGTTTAGTAAACGAACAAAAATTAGGAGGAAAAATCGGGTATTTTTGTAGAGTGGTAAGGATCCCACACAGCACAGTATTGTTTCAGAAATATTGCAGGAATATGGTTCAGACAGATCTGATTTGAAATATTTTTGTTTTATTGCAAAACGTTGATGAAATATTCTAGAAATATTGCTAGAATATCTAAATGTCCGCCCCAAAATCTAACATGAAATATTGCAGATATATTCGATAATATATCCGAACAATATTGCAGAAATAATATGCAACATTTAATCTATATTTGAGATACGATATGGAAATATTGAAAATTTTCATATATAGGGTGTCCCAAAACAACATATTATGAATTATACAGGGTAGATTAGAATTCATAATAGGCCGATGGAGGATATTTTTTTCAGATTGACTTGAATATTTTGGAATCCTTCAAAGGTATATACCTTTTTTTTATAAATTAGCATTTTGTTGTAAATGACAACTTGTGGCGGGCGAAGTGCTGATTTGGCGAAAGACTGAGGACTGAGTGACACTGACCGTGAAAAACTTCAAATGTCAAATTGTTACTGTCGCCCGTGCCTAAATCGCACAATGTAGTGAATTCTCATTGGCCGCAAATAGTCGAAGATGTATCATGTGCTCCATTGTGACCAATGAAATCTTCATTATATATCACGTGACCGATTTCAACAATAAGGATTAGGAATACAATTTCCGACAGAACCATAGATTAATAGTATTATATAAGTGGTATAATATATATAATATACTCAATATTATATGATTTCGATGGCCAAGACAAGGATGTCAAAACTAGAGTCAAAATCATAAATTTATAACCATATAACTGAGTTCCATTGGTAAAACCAGTGCACACTCATTTATATTCTGTCATTCATCCTCGAATGAACATTTTATATTTCTGGAAAATGATTCAGTATTCAATATTGCTGCAATATTTCTTGAAGATTGCATGATTTATCCAAGAAACAATCAATGATTCTAAGCGATATCTTGATATTATAATGCAGATATAAAAAATAAACTTGTCGATGAACGTCGCAATCATATGACAATACAAATTAGTGTCATTGCAGCAATATTTCGAAATATTGAAATTGCAATATACCAATACGATATTTCTGCAATATATCTGAAATATTGCGAATGTAACTGCAATATTGTAATATTGTGGTAATATTTGTTGAATATTTCGTGCTGTATGGGTAAGTGCTATGATCAACATACTAAAAGTCGCGAAACGTTTGCCCAGGTAGAACATCATATTGGCTAAAACTTGGAATTTTTAATTTCAATATTCAATAATCAATCGAGTGCCAATGTTGTAATAACATTCACATTTTGTGACCGACCGATATTCATTTGCCAATATCTATTTGATATTGGCGAAATATTAAAGATTACACTATGTCAATTTTCATGATGCGCTGATAGTGTATCTCCAATATCCAATCAATCTTGGAAAACAATATTGCATCAATATCAGATTAATACTTATACATTGTGAGAATCTCTCCTGTACGTGGGTCTTGTACCTGTTTGGGCAATAAATGGTTTATTTTTTTCTTAAAATGAAAAATTTTTCTCTTCACCTCCATACACAAGTAGAACAAAATATGCTATTTCTCAAATTTCACCAATATAATTATTATGTTTTTGTATAGCCCGAGGAATACAAGAACATCGCTACTCAAATCGTCAGCAGATTTGGGGAAGAAGCCAGCGAAAGAATCCAAGTGTCTACCATTTCCATCCCTCCGCTGGGTGACATCTTGGAATTGAGACGAGATGAAAACTTCTCCCTCTTCATCCCTAAACACAGAAGGATCGCTGGACGTCTCATCAACATCTATTTAGGTAGGGAGGTGTATCACAATTTAGTGAAAATATAACAACTGAAATATTCGACTTTTCACCACGTATTTATCAGCTTGGTATATTTGTATGTTAGTATTGTCGTATGGATTGGAACTCCGCACACTTATCAAGAACCGTTGACAGTAGTAGTTTTGTTCCATTATCCTGATATTTCTCGAATAAAATAGTGAATGTTGTTCCGCGACCAAAATTTTGAAGGTTTTCTTCATCTTTAAAATCTTCGTCTTAATTCCTTCGAATAAGTATAAAACGCTTTTTTATACAGGGTGGGTCACGGTCGATAGCACCTTAGACGTTTACAGAGAACGGGACATAAGATCATTCTGAAAATTTGATAACTCACGAAATTGCTCTTGATCTATCAATCTAAATTATTTTCAGTAATGCAGCTTTGCCACCAAAAAGTGGCAGCATCTTTGTTATATCAAATGGGACACCCTGTATATTGACGCATTTTTGAACTTATCATCACTTTTTGATTATTTCTGCATCATACTATCCTATACCTATCTCTAACGGTTTTTGAGATATTGATTATTTTGCATATTTTTTATCCAAAACATAGCTCGAATTGAATGTTTATTTCTGCGGTATTTGGATTCTCAGGAAGTTGCAATTTTGTGTTTAGTTCATCAAGATCCTGTATATTAATTCTGTGGAGAGAAGTTTGTTCTGCGTTATACAGGGTCGCTCAAAATTCATGATCTTACTGCTAGATACAAAAAAATGTTGAAAGTGCTTTTTTTAAATGGAACATCATGTATATTATGGAATATCCTGAAAGATGACAAAATTCTCTTCAAACTGATATACCATGTTCCTATACCCAAATAGCCAGAATTCCGAGATAGGAGCAATTTCCTATTTTTTTATGTTCTGGTTCCCACGAAAAGGAATATCCTGTAATGTTCAGAGAACATCGTGAGAACCAAGGGAAATAAGGTAGGAATTGGTGTTCTTCTTAAATTTCTGGACGTTATATGCTTCGGGGAACACCTCCCTTGGCTATTAAATGTCATGATGCTACATGAGCAAGAACGTGCACAAAATTCAATGAAACGTATCCTGATCTACATCCAATGAACATAAAGAAGTTTGTACGATTACAACATAATTTCATTAATTATGGATCAAAATATAACTTCAAATGAAGAGCTTCTACTAGAAGTGCCGAATATGATTTAGTCTTGGATCGTGCTTCTGTTCGATATACAATTTTTCAAACGTCAAGCTCTAAAACCAGAAGATTATCAAAATAGGGTACAATTTTGCGAAACAATCCTCATTCGCATCCAAGAAGATCCTAACTTCTTGAAAAAAATGATTTGGAGCTCATGGAGGTCTTGATAAGGCTGAAAATGAATATTAATCCCATTCAAGTATACAGCTATCATGCACAGGGTTCACAGACCAGTGGAAATTATTTCAGCGGAAAATATGACTTAAATAATTAATTTTTTGTAAGCTTAATGACATTTCGAGCGCGAAACGCATGTACGACTGGTAGGTTATCTGTCAATCTAAGGATATTTTTGTTTAGTGAGTCAATAACTGTCACCCATCATCAGTTGTAGTGGATGCAATTTGATATTTAACCATATAATCCGATATTTCACCCCTGCGATCCGATATAGCTCCGGTAGACGGTATATGTGACATTTTGCAATTCAAATTTTTTCCTCTTTCAGGAATGCGCAGCGTTGATGATCTTTTATCGGTCGCCGTGTACACAAGAGACCGCGTCAACCCTTACCTCTTCAACTACGCCCTGTCGGTGGCCCTTCTCCACCGTCCCGACACCCAAGATATGGATTTGCCGTCGTTCGTCCGCTCCTTCCCTGACAAGTACATCGACAGCAAGGTGTTCGCCAAGGCGAGAGAAGAGGCGAACGTCGTTCCGGAGGGATCGAGGGTGCGTTGATTTGACGTTGTTGCCGATGATTTGAAAATATCTTGGTTTGCAGGAATTTTCATGTAAAAAAAAATTGTATGCTTTAAAAGGAAGAAAACGGATATTCAGAGCAGGAAATTATGCAAATTACCCTAAATTGTTGGGAGGTGTTTTTTTATTGTGTTATTCTTTTGCCAGTGACGTCTGAGGTTTCATTAGTGGGGCATTTTTTAGTAAGGAGTTCGCCAAGGCGAGAGGAGAGGCGAACGTCGTTACGGAAGGATCGAGAGTGCGCTGATTGCATAAAACATACGTATAGAAGAATCTCAAAGACCAATATCAGTGTGATCATATAACCTGCGTGCTGGAGATAGGAATAAGTTTTCGAACCGTTCCCAAACCCAAAACTCATTGTCAGATTGGTCACAATCAATCACGTGATACATTATGGACGTATGCGTATTCGCATCCTTGAACGCCTAAATCACTTCACGAATGATGACAGTGGGCTGACGCCATGCTAAAAGTGGACCAGAATAGAACTCCTTGCATGACCAAATTCGGTCTCCACAATTTTATTGCAAAAAATCATCATAAAAAAAAATGAATTCCAACATATCACGTGATGGGAATGGTTCGAAAGACTTAGGTAGTTCTCATGTTTTGTCTCTCGCTTTTCACTTAGCAGCGATGGGCATGAAGCTCTCCATAACAGTGGCAGCGGCGGATATACATTTTATGGGGACTTGAGCTCAATAATTCCAGGGGCCCTTGCAGCCCCTCGCCTCATATCTCCTGCTGCTCCTTTTCTAAGCAAATTTTCAAATAATAATACCATTTACACTGACTATGGTAAGATACCTGCATAATAAAATGTTTTTCTGCAACCTACACAAAAGTCGTCCATTTTGATACCAAAATTAGCTCTTAAATTGACGTTTCTATTACTGACACAAAAATAGGTATGTTGCTAGGCAACATATTTAGTTCCTAGGAGCTAAAGTTGAATTTTAGTTCCTAGGAGCTAAAGTTGAACTTTAGCTCCTAGGAACCAAAAAGGATCTACTGGACGTCATCAAGAATAAACAACATTGTGACGGTTGGTTATTTGGGTTGAGACGCATACCTGATTTGTTTCCGATTTCAGCAGATTTGGCATTTCATACCCATGCTGGAGATATAAATACACCTTATTATAGTATAGTATTGGAATTATAAACATCTCAGTTAAGTATTTTTGTTTTGATCAGGGACGACTTCAAGATTCAAATACTTGCTTGATCTGTATTTCATTCGTTATTCTCGGGATGGATAACTTGTTTTTGAATAATCACGGCAAGCAATAGTTTATTTGTCTCAAACAACGATATTGTTTAGCTTCATTTGATTATCAAGTCAAACACAGTGTAGTATGGAGAGGAATAATTAATCACTATTATCATTGTTGATATGCTCACTAACCTAACATTTTCCACGTCTTGTTCCTATAGCTGGCACTGGCACGGTATTTGCCATTAGAGCACCTGGTCCATACACAAATATGTCACTCTGTGGTTGTATTTATATTGAAACTACAATTCGAACATCCTAGAAAACCTAAGCTGCTGTTAATGCAGGTAGAATATTCTTTCCACATGGATTATTTGTCAATATTTGTTGCATTGTATATACATATGGCACGGCATTGGTGGTTACTTCACATGTTTATTTGAATTAATTGTTTCGGTTGCAGAAAAAATAGCATGTTTCATTCGGATCAAAAGTGACTTTGTTCGACTCGCAAATTTTGCTTTCGCTCGGCTTCGCTAAACGCTCCGCCTCGCAAATGCAAAATTCGCTTGTCAAACAAAGTGTCACTTTTGATCCTAATAAAACAATCTACTATTTTCACCAAGCGGCAAGGATCGTGTCTTTTATCTGCCGCTCAACAGGCAGAAAAGGTGTACTTTCACTGCCTAGGCAGAAAAAGTTTCTTGCTATGCAACGTTCCAAGAAATTCTAATGAAATTAGTGATCAAAATTGACACAAAATTGGTTTTAGATCATTCGGAGAATGTTTCACACAGCAGCAAATGTAGATTGACTGCCTTGGCTGAATTCCTAGCCTCGCTACGCTCGGCTATAAACTATCAGCCGCGGCAGTCAATCTGCTACTTTTCTGCCTAGTAAAACAAATAACTCACCAAATGACATTAAAAGTGACTTTTTGATGACACTTAACAGGCAGAAAAGGATTAATTTTACTGCCTAGGCACCAAAAAGTAGCCCAAAATTTCAGATACATGTTAGTCAAAACTATTTGTCGAAACATTATTGCTCAAACTTTATTCGTATAAAAACCTCTTTTTCATAAATATCGGGTGTAGCTATTATAGCATGATGTTTTTTCATTAACAGTAACATTATCAAGTTAGATTGAAATTACACTTTAGCCTTATCTCTTCTTTTTGGAATCACTCCATTACTCCAGATACATAATTTTATAGTAACTTAATAATGTAGCTATGGCACAATCTACAGGGTATTAAAAGAATCACTCCATTACTCCAGATACATAATTTTATAGTAGCTTAATAAGGTAGCTATGGTACAATCTACAGGGTATTAAAAATTTCATGAAAAAGGCACAGTATAATTGCTACACTCGGTATTCATATAAATGAGGTTTTTGAGCGAATAAAGTTTGCACGCCAATATTCAGAAGGAGATGACCTGTGATTCAAAATGAAAAACGTTCAAATCGGACGAGTACTTTTGACGAAAATGTATCTCAAACTTTTGGTCAGTTTTTGGTGAGGCCTTAATTTTTTGGGAAAGTGTATTAATGTTGCCAATTACTGAGTGGATAATAACTCAGAACGAAATTGATTCACTAAAAGAATGTTTATGCATCAAATGGAAAAACAACGGATAGTTCAGAAGGTCGAGAAATCATGCAATCAATTCAAAATCAAAGATGAAAAAGCAAAGCGAACGAAAAATTCATAACGGGAAATTATGCAATCTAATCTATTCTAAATTGTTGAGCAGTTTATTGAAATATTTGACATTTGGGATCTAGATCGAGGGTACATGATGATTCGACCATGTTGCCAATTAGTGGGAAAATTGTCTGGTTTCAGTGCGATGTTTTTGATTCAGAGCGGGATTCTATATGCATACGAATAAGGATTCTTGGGGCTTCTGGCAGGTGGATAGTTTCTTCTGGCTATTTATGATCCAGGCACCTTTTTTATGTTCTGGTTCTCACGAAAAGGGATATCCTGTAATGTTCAGAGAACATCGTGAGAACCAAGAACCAATTAAGTGTAAATAACAAGTATAACTTGGGTATTAGTTATGAAAAATGAAACTTTTATTTTCAGATGCCCATCGAAATTCAAAAAGATTACACAGCATCTGATCTGGAAGTCGAACATCGTCTTGCCTATTTCCGAGAGGACATTGCCATAAATCTCCACCATTGGCATTGGCATTTGGTATACCCTTTCGAAGCTGCCATGGAGATTGTCAACAAGAACAGAAGAGGAGAGCTCTTCTACTACATGCATCAGCAGGTCATGGCCAGGTAAGAGTTAATGTCAACAGGGAGTTCTTAGAAAATAGAGCCATTGAACTAGTAATAATGCTTCTGGTATTACACAATGGGCTTTATACTATTTTTTTTATTCCTGAAATCAAATCATCACTCAATTACCTTTCAATTCCATATAGACTAGGGAGAATTTAAAAAAAATTCGTGTCCTCGAAAAAATTTCCGGTTTTTAGTTGAAGCTAGAGTGGTATTCGGTAAGAAGATAATAGAACGAGATTACGCTGAATAAAATACAAAATACCGATTTTAGTTACCCAAAATAATAATATGGGCAGGTGGCGGTAGTTCAAACTATAATTCTTGACAATTTTATTCCACTAAAGTTGGTGAAAACATATTTTATCACAAGGAACTCGAAGCAGTATGTTGTTTCAATTGGATTCAAATCCATAACATTGTTAGGTTAGTGGAAACACAATGAAAAATAGGTCGATGGTAGCTCAATTCCTCAGTTTTTCACAAATTCATTTCACTAAAGTTGATAAAAATATATTTTCTTACAAAGAATTATCAACTGTATGTAAGAAGTATCAAATGTAGATGTCATTGTATCTAAACGTCGAAAAAAATCAAGTGTAATTTCATGCTCCTTCCACCAATGAGGAGAACAAATTTTCCGAAAATTTGTTTAGATGCTATTGTAACGATACAAAATACAGGCTTTCAATTGGTCGAAAATGTTAGGTGTGAAATTTTCACGGTAATTTTCAAACGGCTAGAAATTTACCTCGAATGAAAAGTGTCGTCACGATTTCGTTAGTAGAAGCAGACCATAGCCCAGTAGCTATATGTTGAAATACCAATTGGAACTTCAGAAATATTATTCATTTATTGATAATACATATATTCCTAATCATATACTAAAATGATATCCTTGATAAGATTGTCAATCTTATATGTTGTGTCTGTGATGAATTTGTGTTGATAATAATTATATTAATCCACACTAAAGGCCCTTTTGTCCCGTAAACGTGACAACACAAAACTAGGGCTGCGCGATATTGGAATTCACATATCGGTTATCGATAAGTCAAAACACATCGATAAGTTCATGTCTAATGTTGGCTATATTTGAGTTCTTCCAACTGTTTTGCCAGTAGGCTTAGCCCCAGATATACGTAAAAGAATTACCTTTACCACAAATAAACTTTATTATATCGAAAACAACAAAATATATTCCGACGAGATTCAGAGAAAATAGTTATTTATTATACAAGGGAAAAAAGTAGTGGATTTTAGCTGCAGGTTGTGTTATCTCCCGACGCGTAGCGGAGGGAGACGAAAAACCGTGAGCTGAAATCTAATATTTTTCCCGTGTATAATACACTACACAAAATAGTTATTTACACTACAAGGGAGGCAAGTGATACTTACCAGTCGAGGACATTGTTTGCGCCCGAGCGATAGCGAGGGCTTGCAAAATAGTCCGAGACTGGTCAAGAACACTGCCTCCCGAGTTTTGTATTATATTTTTTCTACTCCAGTTCCCTTAGATTAAAAAAAATGTTTTTCTACTCCTTACTCGGTAAGTACTTCATTTTGATACTGATTTGAGGGAGGAAAACACGTTCTACCTCCCTAGGGAGGTAAATATTTACTTACCTCCCTAGGGAGGTAGAATGTGTTTTCCTCCCTCAAATCAGTATCAAAATGAAGTACTTACCGAGTAAGGAGTAGAAAAAAGTAATTTATGAAAAGTGACATTTTATAACCTGCCAACAGAGCTGAAATTCCAAACTCTGACAAGAAACAACTTCTATCTCTCAAACCCTTAACAACCCTCCTGTTCTATACATGGCAATACAGGGTAATATTGGCAAATGAATATATTACATTCGACCATCCTGAGACATGTTTGTCCTCAAACATAGTCCTGAAATCTTGTAGGTCTTCTGACCTTCCTTCGATGTCTTTTGATCATTCCACCTCCTGTAGAATCACCTTTTTCGCTGGCTGACTCCTCTACTTTCCAACTTTTTTCGTGACTTAACCTTTGGAAGTTTGGCCATCTTCTATCTCATTCTCCAGTTCTACTTCTGGAACCTGAAAATTGGTTTCCTCTATTGTGTCATTCATGTCATTTGTTTCTCCATCTATTTAATCCTCTTCATAGTTTTTATAAATTTTCAAATGTGAAACATGGGCAACTGTCGTTTTACTCGACCCAATTCCTTCATCCAGCTTTTCCAATCTGTAGGTATTTCCATAAACTTTTTCTATAATCACATAGGGTCCCCGATTTCTGAAAGGTTATATGTTTTGGACTTGTAAATGTTACATTAATGTTGGCTATATTTGTGTTCTTCCAACGGTTTGTCAGTAGGCTAAGCCCCAGATATACGTGGAAGACTGAACTTTGCCACAAATGAACTTTATAATATCGAAAACAACAAAATATATTCGGACGAGATTCAAAGAAAAACGATATTGCTAAGGAGTGCTGTAAAAATTAATTCAGGTCAGTAAGTATCGACACAGTGAGGTAATTGAATGAGAATTATTATTCACTACCAGCCCACTAGCCAATAGCAGAAATTGCATTAAATTTTTCACTTCTTCAGAAGTTTGATCATTTATGGAAAGACTTTCTGCTGATATATGGAGACCTCAAACCACTTATAGAATTTGGTGCTGAAATTTGTTTAGTATGCGCCATCCAGTTTTAATGAATAAAAAATTAAATTGATATGTTGATGGCGATGCTCAAATTTTGGAACAGTCTGATTCGGTTTTTCATTGGTAGATTCATTCTACAGATCGTATTTCTTATGTCGTATGGTAACGAAAACGGTAAATCAGAAGCAGAGACCTGCACATCGAAGCAAATTTGAAACAGGCACTGAAGTTTCTTGAACCATTTTCCATATTTCTGGAAATTCAGGCGCCAGCACAAAGAAAACCAGTAAATTCGGTTTTGCCTGTATAGTATCTAGATGATGATATAGGAATGAAAGAAATTCCAAAGAATGGGACTTCAGCCATTTAATAATATCTTGACTAATTCTTTTGCAGATATTTATATTCGACCAGCTCTGTCCATCTAAGCAAAAAAAGAATTCAATTTTTCTTTCAATTCACGGACTTAGTTTGAAGGTTGGATATATTGAATATTGTGAATTTTCTTGGACATCATCAGACATAAAAAACAATGTATGATCTCCATGATACATCTTTATGGATAGTTTCAACTATAAATGAACTACAGGAAGTGAAAAGCTCAATGTCAATTCATTTGAACATCTTGTAGACATTACTTTCGTCTCTTCACTCTGTGTTAACTAATTATTCACTTTGACAACTTGAATGATTACCTACCAAAGTCCTTCAGACTGAAGTGATCTGATTGATGAGTTAACCTTCGATATTAACATATAGACCAAGTTATGAATAAAGGTCTATTATCCGTCAATATTCCTTAATTTCATATCCAATCTCTATTTGAATATTGGACAATTCTTTGCTGTCTGAGCATATAATGCACAAACTTTCTACTGTGCCATTACGAAGTTTCGAGGTAGTTTCTGGTTCGAGGTGTTGTTATATAATGTCATTGATAACAATATTTCTGGAAGAACGAGTCAATATAGTTCAGCGAAATAGCGTATATTCATCATACGTTGTTTTCTGTAATATTCCACGAATTAATAAAGTAATTACCTCTATTTACTTGGAATATGCATCGAGCCATTAATCATGTTTTCCACGAGTCCATTCAAATCCTATCAGTCATTCAAGTTACTAGCTTTTCCTTGTTCTGTAGAGATTGATGGCATTCCGAGGAAGTTTAGACATAAGAGTAGAGTATCAAATTGATACTGGCCTGGCATTTAAAAGGAAATATATCCTTGTCTAAGAAGAGCACTCAAATTGATTCTGTTCCCGGAATTATACTTCTTTCTTCATGAAGATAAAAAGTGAAATGAACTCCCGAACACTCCGAACAACAACAGATAACAGATGATGATCTGTGTTCGAAAAAGGTTCTTTGTGAGTGAAGCTTTTCGTGAAAACAGAAATGCATAGCTAGTTTTTTTATCGCTTGGAGTGCACGAAATGGAATCCCCATAATGTTCGAAGAACATCGTGCGTTTCTAGAGAGGATATATGGTCGATAGGGAGATGTGGTGGGGTGGGTATTGGTATATATTTTTCGATCATATTGAGATTATAAGTTTTTGGGAATCCTTCCTTAGGCAATGAATTCCAGAGCTTTGCCGTTTTATAGACAAACCAGTTTTGATTAAGTGCTGTACGATATATTTTTTGAGGTTGACAAGGAGAGGTCGTCGGCTTTTCAGCGGTGTTCCAATGATGTCAAAGAGTTAGAGAGTGTGGCATCATCCAACAAACGAATGACTCTTCTCTGGATATAATCAGCGTATTTTTGGGTGCTGAACCCCATATGTGGGAACAGTATTCTACCAGAGATTTCTGAAGAAAATTTCCTGTGGAAGTATCTATAGGAAAGTGAACTCCATATATAGGAACAGACTTCTATCAGAGATTTCTGAAGAACATTTCCGGTGGAAGTATCTGTAGAAAAGTGAAAGGTCACCGGCTTTTCAACGGTGTTCCAATGATGTCAAACAGTTAGTGAGTGCGGCATCATCCAACAGGCGGATGGCACTTCTCTGGAAAGAATCAGCGTATGTTTGGGTGCTGAACCCCATATGTGGGAACAGTATTCTATGAGAGATTTCTGAAGAAGATTTCCCATGGAAGTATCTATAGAAAAGTGAAAGGTCGCCGAATTTTCAACGGTGTTCCAATGATGTCCAAGAGTAAGTGAGTATGGCATCATCCAACAGGCAGATGGCTCTTCTCTGATGGATGAAATCAGCGTATGTTTGGGTGCTGAACCCCATATATAGGAACATATTTCTATCAGAGATTTCTGAAGAACATTTCTGGTAGAAGTATCTGTAGAAAAGTGAAAGGTCGTCGGCTTTTCAACGGTGTTCCAATGATGTCAG